TGCTGCATTTCGTAAAGCCTGCCGAACTCCGTCCGTAATTTATTTGCGGCCTATTTAACGACTCTCTGTCATTGGTCCAGATTTTGTGATAAGATGAAGATGGCTGTCTTCTGGATCGTAGCGCCCTGTAGTCTGGAAGAAGTTTACCAACGTTTCAGAGGTCTTTGCTGCTTCCATTATCAGGGCGATGAAGGCCTCGGTAGGAAAACAAATTAGGAATGAAGCTGTTCGCTTATTTATTTTTATGGGAAAGGTGGAAAAAGGTTTTTGTTCAATTTTTCGCGAAATGAGACAAATCTTGGTAATTTCAAATTCACCTGAAGATGATTTGAAAATTTCGTCTAACAATGTGAATTCTAACATTTTTTTATCTGTAAATACGTATAACAGGCATTTTATCCCACCTGGAAGGTGAATTTCTCTCTCGTATTTATTTAATGATTCTGTGGAAGATTGTGTAAATTCTGGAAGTGTCTCTTGCGAACAGTATTTTTTCCCTTTTAAACTTACTTTTAGTGTAACAAGAGAGATATTAACAAAGAAGAAGTTTTAATAGGATATTCTTAATAGTTTCTACCAAACGTTTTCAAACTGAAATTATTTTATTGAAAAGTTGGCCTTTTCATGACTTAATATGATTGTTCAATTTTTATAACGCGTGAAATGCAAGCTGCCAGTTATTAAGGCATCATATACGAAAGTTCATTTCTCTTCGCCTGTATCGGAATTAAATTTGTGTTTACAAATTAATTGTGAATTGTGTTAGAGGTATTGAAACGACGGATACAGTCTGAAATCTACATACTTCATCACGTACATCACGTACTTTACATAGAGTATAATAGCACTGAAACGACGGATACAGTCTGAAATCTGAATGTATACCACGTACTTTACATAGAGTATAATAGCAACCTTTATTTTTATTACAAACTTACACATTGCGCACACTGATAAACATTGTAAGCAAATATAATTAACATGCTGAAGGGTGGATGTCATAATTTATTAAATATTTCAATTACAGTTTTATATTGATCACTTATAACGAATTAAAGCACAGGAATTTTTACGACGAATATGGGTTGCTCTTACTAATATTTCTTGATCTCAATTGTTAGTTTTTCATTATTTATCTCTCGTATTTATGTGCATTACAAAACCATCGAAAGATTTTCTTTAAAGCAATAGATAAAATGAAAGATCTATTTCAAGATATGCACACTTACAATATTAGGACCTTTAAAAACACCAACAGACGAGTAACTAGGCATATACATTGATGCACCTAATTTTTTTTCTGAAACGAATTCATGCAGTCAGCAGATTTTAAACCACATTTGCCATTTTATGGATATTACATTTCGTCAGCCAGTTTTTATAGGACATGTGTAATTTGTACACATTTATACTTCTGGGTAATCATAATACATGCCCTCATCTGTACCACAGATTATCACATCCATTGCATTTCACTGGCGAATAAAGTTGCACTTCAAATCCTGTCGGTGGCATAAATACATTTTTAGATTTACAGTTTGCATTACGAAGACAAATAATTGGCCTTTCTAAACATCAAAGAATGGCTGGATTATTTTGTTAAATTGCGTAAATATTTACAATTTACTCTAAATATTAGTGTTTGGTCGTTCATACCACTTAATAATACTAGGGACTAGAAATGTGTTAAATTAAAACATGTTATAAATGACTTTCCTCAGAATGGAAAGTTGTGTTTCTCGTACATTTTAAGCATTAAGACGGTTAGTCTATACAGCACATGGAGATAACAATCTTTGTTTAAAGCCATAAGAGACTATTTAAAGGTAATCTTTAAGAATTATGAGATGTGTCAACGTTTTTCGGAATGCGCTTATATATCTCATTACACAAACAATGCTCTAATTTATTCATCTGTGTTCTGGAATAACGAGTTTCGTTACAAGCCTGGCTTTCAAGAAACTGGCACCTCTTTGTTGTACTCACTTGGTCTCACCACCTGCTTTTCAACCTCTAATCTTCACCGCCTTCTTCACGATTCTTTAAATCCATCCACCTTCCTTGTTGAAACTCTTTTCTCCAAATTGCAAGCTAAACACTAAGCATCTTTGTTCCTTATTGCCTGAGTTTGGCGGGAATATTTCATTGCAAAACTCTCAGTACCTTCTTGTTGATGACTTCTCTTCAGTTGAAGACTTCTGTGATGCATTTACATTGTTTAATTCTTAGGATACGTTTCTTTCTCAACCGAGGACTCATAGAAGGGCAGTTTAGACTAACTGTGATCCACGCCGCCTTCTTCGGTTTGCAGAAAGCACATGACTTGAAAGCTGGAGCATCTGATTCATCATCATCATCTTCTTCTTCTTCATGAGATTCTCTGCGCCCTGGTCTACGTCGACGTGGATTCTTGGGGATGTAAAACGAATTGCATTGCCCATAGCAGAACCGATTGATGACAGTCCGGGTAAGACATCCATCCTCACGGATTCTTTGCACC